TGTTGTTAAAAGCCTGGTTTTACTTGAACACTGTGTTCCTGAGTCAAAAGAGTGCTTCAGCGACATCTGCCTTGGGGTGGGGGTGGGGGGCAAAAGCAGTCTCACACAGCCTCACACTGGAAGATACTGCTGTCTATGGAAGATACTGCTGTCTATCGGCTGGACAAAAGGTTTTTCTTTTCCTCCAGCAATAATTGCTCAAATTGCTTGAGAAAGGGACACAATGTGATGTTTATCCCTGTTTACAGATGTTTAACCGTGCCCCTTCCAAGGGTCATGTGCCTACAAACAACATCATGGTAATTATATTCAACGCTGCAAAGCACAGATGTGTAAATTGGTGGTTTCTTGGGGAAAATAATGCCAAGTCCACTTTCCAGAAATGTACACAGTGCAGAGCAGCTGTAACATTTTGTGTGGGGGTCTCTTTAGTGTCTATAATGGAATATAGTTATATTTAAAGAATACGGAAATTCACCAAGACATCTTGGGAAATCCAGGAGCACCTCGAAAATGATTTACAGGATTTGGTGTGTTCAAAAATTCCTAACAATATTGGGCAAATTGCCACATCCAAAGTAAAGCACAAAGGAGATTCTGAAGTTCGCCAGGCAAGAAATATATATTGAGTAAGGATGGAGTTAAGAAACCTCTGTTGGCCCCTCCACCTCTGAGGTCTGTGACTCTTCAAAATAAACAGGACATCAGCAAAACAAGATTACACAAAGGAGATCATACTTCTGACTTGTGAAAACTAGAATATTCCTAAACTCACTGCTGAAGGGCGTGGTAGGGATCAGATTTCCAGAAAACCAGCATTCAATGGCTCCTAATTTTAAAAGTATATGTTACCCAGAACCGGTGCTGTGGCTCCGTGGGTTAATGCCCCAGCCTGCAGCATCCCATATAGGCCCTGTTTGAGTCTTGGCTGCACTTGCAATTCAGCTTTCTGCTAATGTGCCTGGGAAAGCAGCAGAGGATGCCCAAGTGCTTGGGCCCCTGCCACCCATGTGGGAGACCCAAATGAATCTCCTGGCTCCTGGCTTCTGCCTGGCTCAGTCCTGGCTGTTGTGGTCATTCAGGGAATGAAGCAGGAGGTGGACGATCTCTCTGTGTCTTCTCTTTCTGTTAACACCACTTTTCAAATAAATAAATAAATAAATAAGTAGAAAAAGTATATGCTACCTTGGATATAACAGAGAGACAGATGAAATAACTTCTATAGCTAATGTATTGTATTATAAATACTTCCCTCAGGTTGAGTATTTATGTGGCTATATGGTAATCAATATAACCCCTAAAAATTAAAATAGCACCAACCAAAGTCAGCTTCTCGTATCAGAACAGTTGATTAAATACATCTGCTATCATAGATAAGGGTACTCAAAAAGTGTCATGGAGAAATGGAATTACAAGATAAATTTATTTTAGTGAAAAAATATTTTGGAGTCTATGGATAACACACATTTCCATGAACTATTTGAAGACCCCTTGGATGTCACTATAAGCTTTGCTACATTCTCTTTTGCTTTCAAACCATTTCACATAGTACATGCACAATGTAATATTGTGATGCACTAGGGATGGGGTTTCTCCTGGACCAGGGCTATCTATACCTCCACATGTACTGAAACTTCACAAAGGAGCAATATGTATCCTATAACTTAGAAAATGTGATAAAATCCTGGAAGTTGATTTGCATTTATATTGCATATTACAATATTCAATGACATTATGCAAAACTTGGGAATTTTGCTTCTGGGGTACAAAAAGCATACTCTGCTATTTTTTCAGGCTATGCCTTTTGGCTTTTATGATTCCATAGGAACTACTAAGCAGCACCAAAGCATGTCTCTATGATTGAAATGTAACAGAGGAACAATCTAGTCTGCTAATCTGGATCTTTCAGGCCCACAATGGAAGGATAATAAATTGAGACCTGCCAACTGCCTAAGGCCAAACCATGCCTTTTGACACTAATGAGCTAATTCAGTTACCTACTTTGTCCCACATTCAGTCTTCTTGTTCTTTGTGGCACTGGGGACTTAGGAAACAAAGGAGGTAATGAGGGCTAGTCCAGTTCTACCAAGGAATTGATTTCATTCCCTAGGGCTTGCTTTCCTTGGATGTGATGCAACATGCTGTGATGGGCTCTTCCAGGACTTGTGTCATGTTCTATGTAGCTATGCATGCTGGAAGGTAGAAGAGAGATTCTTTGTCATTTGTATGTGATAGCTGATACTTGGTGTCTGTAATGTCAAGAAGCAATGAGATAGGGACAGAAAATTCTGACTTGCTTACTACTGTATTTTTCAGAAACTCAAGGACACTGTTTCCAAAGAGAGTGTGGCTCAGTTTATAGTCATCACTGTGGTTTATGGACCCTGTAGAGCAGCCTGCCCCATACTAAAATGTACTTTGGCTACTTTACACCAGACTCCTCAATCAGCATCTCTGGGATTAGGACTCCTGAAATCCTGATCCAGAATATTCCCGCCAAAGACTGCAAACTCTCAACCTAAGTGGGAGAGCACTTTTTCTGCTAATCAGAAATTTGGTTGGAAAATATTCATTTAATTTACCTTAAACCTCAATTTTGTAAAAACAGAAACATTATCTGTCTTTCCCCGTTGTCCAGAAATAAAAATGTTAGTGTCTTGGTGGAGTAGCCTCTTAGAAAACAGCTTCTTAGAAAAGCAAGCAATTTCCTAGTTATAAGTTATATTCGTATATCAAAAATAGTTACACTTGAAACTTAGAATGCTTTCTCTGCAGAAGTAACATAAAATGGTGATTTCCAGACTTGTCCATAAAACTCTAGTTGATACAAAATCTAGCTGAAATTCTGTACCTTTGTCAAGGAAATACAGGAGAATGTTATGTTACTACACTGTGGAGAGGGGTTGAACCATGTATTTTTTCAAAGATTTATTTATTTGAAAGGTAGAGTGACAGAGAGAGAGAGAGGGAGGGAGGAAGGGAGAGAGAGAATGACTTCCATCCACTGGTTCACTCCCCAAATAGCTACAACTAGGGCATGGCCAGACTGAAGCCAGGAACCAGGCAACTCCATCTGTGTCTCCCAAATCATGGCAGGAGCCCAAGAACTTGGGTCATATTCTGTTGCCTTTCCAGACACACCAGCTAGAACTGGAATGGGAAACAAAGAGGCCAGGATCGGAATGAGCACTCCAATATGGATACTGACATCACAAGTGGTGGCTAAACCCACTGTGGTACAATGCTGGTCCCAGAACCATTTCTTATATATAATTTCATTTGAAAAAATATATATATATAACCATTACTGTGTTTTCCTTTTACTGATCTATAGGTGTTTTAAAAACCCCACTCAACATTTATGAAAACGAAAACTATAGCAAAACTTTGTTTCTTAGGTACCTTTGTGTCATGAGATTTTCAAATGAACAAAAGGAGGGATGGATAAAAAGAAACTTCAAAGACATTTCCCAGGCAGATTAGACAAAAGTTAGGAAAAAAAAAGCACCACTGGGGTAGGGAAGGACACAGAGAAAACAGAAAATGAGGAGAAAAGAGGTGATGAGTGGTTTTGGAATCGGCTGATTTAAAGCGGAAGGTGGGCGAGGAGAGCTGCAGAGGGGTCGGGGGAGACTGGGAAGATGGTAACCGTCAGGCCGAAGAAAGGAACCCGGGGTAACTTGGTGTCAGTTACCCACAGTAACCACCTGGTGAAACTGATCCAGGACCTCCTGCATTCGTTTCTTGCAGGGTTAGTCTGGGAGTGCCCACCAAGTCTCATGAGCTAATGGTAGTAACCAGCTACAGGTACTGCAAGCCAAACTCCCTGCCCTGTCAACAATGGCTTGAGATACACATCAAAGCCTTTATTCAGGGTCTTCTAAGGTAGTGAGGTTCAGCCTGAGACAAAACCGAAAGGTGGACCCAAGAGTTCTCCTTGTCCCCAGCCTCGTCCATACCGCCCTCACAGTGCCTCAAAGTCTATGCCTCCCATACTTGGTCTTCCATGATCCAGTTTAAAGTCTCTTCTTACAAGGAAAAGGACTCGCCTGTACAAGGCTGATCTGGTTCAGAACGGTAACAATCTGAGCATCCAAAGAGGGCGGTGTTACCAGTTCCTCACCCTTGGCATCATTTGCATGTTCGGTGTTTTTAATTATCATTATTATTTTCTATTCTATGACGCTGAAGCCTAGTAATGTTTAAACCTCGTGGAGCAGGGCGGATGCCATTCTTAGAAAAGCTATGGATTTAATAGACAATAATCATGCTTTGCATACTACCTCACATTCAGGCACACCCTGAAACCCATCTCAGACCCCAGACTTACAACTACAGGGTTTAAAGAACTGATAAACCGTGGAAGTACGGGGGGAACGACACGATGGCGATCAGAGGGGTGGATTTAAGCAAACATCCCCACCCCAAAGGCGCAGGCGGCTCTACCCAAGGCTGCTCGCTCTCGGCGCACACACACTGACTTCCCGCTCCCTCCCGCAGGGCAGGCCTTTCTCTCCCCCACCCTCCGCGCCCCGGCACGGGGACCGCTCCTCCTCCGCCTCCCGCGGGCGTTCGCTCGGCTTCGGCCTCCCTTCGGGGTGATCTCATCCCTTTGTTTCGGCGGCGCGCCCACCTCCCAGACTCGCCCGCGGGACTGTGGGCGTGACGGGCGGAACGGGCGGAGCCTTGGCCGCGGGGCGGGGCCGGCGTGCGCGGGGCGGAGCCTCCGCTCGCTGTTGCGACCCCACGCGGAGGCTGCGACGCGGCGTCTGCAGCCGGTGGCGTCCCGCCTCCAATGCCACCAGTTCTCTTACCCACCGGGCCCCGAGGAACTCGGTTTTACTGAAACGAACCTCCAGGAACTCTTGTTTGGGAGCTCATTGCTGCTGTTGGTTGCTGAGAGAACAAAAGCCTCAGTCCCTGCCCCTAGGCCTCGCCGCGGGGCTGCAGGTAGCGGTGCAGCCCAGGCCTCTCCGCCCTCCATTATCCGCTCCCCTCACCTGCGCCCCTGGCAGCAGCGCCTCCTTCCCGGGACTGAGCCCTGGGACACCGTCAAGGTCACGCGGCGGGTGGGGAAGGAAGCAGAGAGGCCGCTGGGTGTCTGCCTGGCTCGGAGGCTGCACAGAGCGCGTTAGCATTCCTCGGGCTGTTCCCGCTGTCTCCCTGGCAGGCCAGGGGGTGGCGGCGCCCTGGGCGGGGAGATTTTCTGATGTCAGCAGGAGCCTTTACAAACAAAATTCAGGCCATGACTGGTCGAGAGGCTTTTAACAAAGAAAGCCAGGGAAAGAGCCAAGGCCTTGCACTTAATTTGGAAAAATAACGCATTCTTCCTATTATGTGTTTTAGGCCCCTAAATTTGAAATTTCCCTTTTCCACTCTTGTCCGAAGACAGTTGCAAATATATTTTTTTGGGTGGGGAGTTGAGTCGTTGAAGGAGGTAGGAAGAAGTGAGGTGACTTTGGGTGTGGCTACCCATAGACTGGGGGTAAGCTTTCCTCTTGGAGTCAGATGCCGGCACCAGCGTGGAGCATGCAAGTCTTAACGCTGTGCTCGACTTTGTCATGGCTGTAAACCACTTCAGGTCCACGTGAGAGGGAAGCCAGAAGGAAGAGGAGAGAGCCAAGGTGTCAGGTGGCGCCAGATGTTAAGACCCCATCTGTCTCCAGCTTGCAAAGAAGGGACCTAGGAGCCTACAAAAACCTTAGCGGGAGACATGTGCCTTTGCCAGTGATGGGTGTAGGACGCTGATGGGACCTGAGCTTCTTTTATTGTTTAAATAGGTGAAAGTCAACTGTGGCAGAGGATAACAGTGGTTCACATATATATCTAGATTTCATTCAGAGTCTCCACACAGACTGGCAAGGTGGCTTTTCAGAATCTTCATCCGTTCCCCCTTAATGGCCATCTAGCTTTTTGCTGAGGTAGGAATAACGTGTACCTGCATTCGCAAGGGCTGGGATCGGGCACTAAAGGGTGGTTGTGTCTGCTCTCCTGATGAGGTGCTCATTCACCAGGTCCCAGAGCATAAAAGACAAGTCACGCTGAGCTGCGTCAAACGTGTAATGGCCAAGCGGGCTGGCCAAGACTTCTGTGCTTTCTCAGTTTGGTGGTCACCTTTGGGGACCTTTGAGGGAGCTCTGTTTTGAGTCACAGTATTACTATAAATTTGGAAGGCAATAGACAATTTTAGAAGGTAAGTGGCAGTAAGGGTTGGAGTATGGCAGGGAGACCCCATTCATTCAGAGTCCAGGATTAGATCATGGATAACTGCTTAGCCTTTTCTAGGGAAATAAGAAAATGGGGGGTTTGTGTGTATGTGTGTATACACACATATATATTTTGTACACAGTTAGAACTTGGCTACTTTGTTTGAGTCTCACATCCCCTAGTCAACTCTGTTAATGTACAAAGAAACTGAAGCCCAGATAAGTAAAGAGAATTCCGTAAGTTACAGTCAAGTTGGAATGTGTCAGGTCTATGCCCTAGCCCCCGATCGCCCATCCATTGGTTTCACCATATACCTGTTGCTTCTTATTTCTCTGAATTTCCTAATAGAGACACCTCCTTGCATTTAATGAGATACTCTAAAGGATTCCCCAGAGCAGGTATGTTTAAGTCTGGGTGTTGTGGGCCAATGCATTTCACACGTGATGTATGAAGATTATGAAAATGCAGATACTGGTGCAGTAGGTCTGGGGCTAGGCAAGACTGTGCTGACTGCCCACCCTGCCCTGCGTGATACAGACGCTGTTGCTAACCTGTTCAGCAGCAAGGCTGTAGTCAGAATCCTTCCTCCTTGCCTCTCCTTTCTAACTGGAAAAACAGCCCTGCAAGTTAAGAAAGATATTTGATTGTTGTTGTTCTTATTGCCAGATCACTGTGCTGTCTTAGTGATCTGCGGCCTTTTTACTGCCTTGCTGCCTTGTCCTCATACAGTCCTGAGATTGTGTGAAATAGTCCCTAGAGACAGGTGTCTACAGCAAGAGGGTATGATCTTTTGTCTAGTGACTTAGCACCATTTATCTTGGTTTCACAAAACCTTTTGCCCATAAGCATTTTTCTCAACCCTGATAGAAAAGAAAAAAAAAAAAATCTTCTCGTCTTCACACAAGCATCCTCCCAGCTGTGGCTCATTTCTTACTTACTGAGAGGGCAGCTGGCATGCTGCTAGCTCACAGGCCTGACCCTTCCATGGCCCAGCAAGGGGGTTTATGCAATTCCTTGTCGCTCATTTCTGTCTTACAGTTCTGCTTGTTATAGCTAGGTTCAGGTCTGAGTGTCTTTGTGCATTCCCTGCATTGAATAAGCCAGTAAGAGGTGACACAGCAGAGACTCTTCTAAAGCAAACTTCAGCGCCTCCTATTCCTCAGTTCTCTGGAGCTTGCCCGCCTTGGAAGTGCCTCTCCCGTGGCTCTTTATGTTGCTCTGGGAGTTCATTTGATATCTGTTTTGCTATAAGTTGTTCTAGGAAAGCAGCAGAATTTCATGCCAGTTATAATACATATTCACCATGCACTTAACAAGGCCTTTCTGTGTGAAACAGTGGTAGAGAGGCTGCAGAGTGGAGCTGTAGAGAGGTTGCACTCTAAAGTCAGCTCTGTAGGTAGTCAAATCTTAGCTCGACCACTTATTAAATGTGGAACTTCTTGAGTATTAGTGTCCTTATCTGCAAAAATAGTAATAATAGCTACTTCATACGTTAGAATACCTACCTCATACACTTGCTATGAGATTGTTCCTGTGCAAAACACAAAGCTCAGTGCCTGGCACAAAGTGATCAATATTTGTTAACTTCCATTATTACTATTAATAAATCAATATTCCTGCCTTGAAAGAGTCCTCAAAATAGTTGAGAATTTGAGAAGTGGGTGCACTAATAATTACAATACATAAAGAAATACAACTACAGATACAATGAGAATTTAGCATAAAGAAAATATCCCAGAGGTTGGCAAATACAGCCTACAAGCTAGGAATAGTTTTTTCATTTTTAGATGATTGAAAGAAAATCAAAAGGATAATAATACTATGTGATACTTTAAAATTTTAAGCAATTCAAATTTTGCTGTTCATAAGTAAGTTTTCTTGGAATACAGCCATGCTTATTCATTTAGTATTGTCTATAGGTTATTTCACACCTCTGTGACAGAATGGAGTAGTTGCAATAGAGAACATATGGTTCAGAAAACCAAAAATAGGTAGGGATTGGGATGAGTCATGAAGGATGCACAGAGTTTCAGCAGACACCAAGGACAGAGATGTGTGCAGTAGTCCACATGGTACCCAGACTACAAACTACACTGCAGGTACGGTTTTACTGGATGCAATCTCAAGGTAGCTTCCGAGAGAAGAGAAAAGGCAATTTGGAATTAAGTCTATGAATTTCTCAAATGCCAAAGCAATGTCTGTCTTTTAACATTATATATATTATTTTTACTTTGGAGATACCATATTTTAAAATTTATATTGTACTAGAAGATGCCTATCTTCTTAGCTTGACAGGCAATGGAAATATTTAAAATTTGTTTTTCTTGGGCAGGCATGTCATTTTAGCTGTGTGTGATAGATATGTAGACAGAGTAGAAGAGAGAACAAGTAAGAGAACTACTTAAGTTGAATATTACACTGTTTGATTTCAGGGTCTATTTTGAGTCTTAAAGAATAGAGGCAAGTGTCATGAGCGGTTTGTGCTTCTGTCCACTATGCCAACATCCCATATTAGAGTATCAGCTTAAGTCCAGCTGTTTTGCTTCTGATCCAGCTTCATGCTAATGCACCTGGGAAGGCAATGGCATATGGCCCCTGCCACCCATGTGGGAGACTAGGATGTAGTACCTGGCTCCTGGGTTTGACCTGGCCCAGACCTTGCTCTTGAGTTCATTTGGGGAGTGAGCCAGCATATGGCAGATTAAAGCTTCCTTCCTTCCTTCCTTTCTTTTTCTTTTCTTTTACTTTCCCTTTCTTTTCTCTCTCTCTCTCTCTCTCTCATTCATTCATTCATATATATATATATATATCTGCCTTTCAAATAAATAAATAAATCTTAAAAACTAAGGGAACTGGGGCCAGTGCTGTAGTGCAGTAGGTTAATCCTCCACCTGCAGCACTAGCATCCCATATGGGCACCGGTTCTAGTCCCGGCTGCACCTCTTCCAGTCTAGCTCTCTGCTATGGCCTGGGAAAGCAGTGGAAGATGGCCCGGGTCCTTGGGCCCTTGCAACCGCATGGGAGACTGGGAAGTGGCTCCTGGCTCCCGGTTCCTGGCTTCAGATTGGCGCAGCTCTGGCCGTTGTGGCCATCTGGGGAGTAAATCAGATGTCTCTCCCTCTCACTGTCTGTAACTCTACCTCTCAAATAAATAAAAAATCTTAAAAACAAAACAAAGCTAAGGGAACAATGTTCCAAGGTAGAATTTCAGACATTTGGTAAAAGCAGATCTTTGTCTAGGTTCACCTGTTCCTTTACTGCACCAGCCATCCTTCTTATTGCCTTGATTCTCCACAGTGACTTAAGCCTTTTGTTCTATATTCCTGAAGTGCTTCTGTATCAAGGCGCAGTTAGATTGATGTGTGCCCATTTATCAGAAGCTGCAGTGATAGCAGGAAGTTTTGGTTTGTTTGGCTCACTCATCTTTGATAGCATGTGTGCCTTTGACTCAAGGAGGAACCTGGGAATTTTTCTAGTTAAGAGCCATTGTGATGGTTTTGGATTCCTCTGAGAATCTTTCCTTTTCAATTTTGGGCCTAGTCCTGAGTTGGCAAAGGGCTCTGAAGAGTTGTGCTTGGTGAGTAAATAGAACTATGGGAAGAAGCCCGCCGTGGCTCAATAGGCTAATCCTCCGCCTTGCGGTGCCGGCACACCAGGTTCTAGTCCCGGTCGGGGCGCCGGATTCTGTCCTAGTTGCCCCTCTTCCAGGCCAGCTCTCTGCTATGGCCTGGGAGTGCAGTGGAGGATGGCCCAAGTCCTTGGGCCCTGCACCTGCATGGGAGACCAGGAAAAGCACCTGGATCCTGCCTTCGGATCAGCGTGGTGCGCCGGCTGCAGCACGCCGGCCGCGGCAGCCATTGGAGGGTGAACCAACGGAAAAGGAAGACCTTTCTCTCTGTCTCTCTCTCTCTCACTGCCGCTCTGCCTGTCAAAAAAAAAAAAAAAAAAAAAAG